TCAAATACCTTGTCGAAATCGGGAAGTGCAAGTACCGTTGTGGCGCTGAGTTTGGCTTTAATTACGGTGAAACTGCGATCTTGATCGGGTCCCCATTGAAATTTGCTTTTTTTCAAGCATTCAGTAATAGAGGCGGTGATTGTACTAAAGTCTTTTACAAACCTTCGGTAAAAGGTTGCTACACCGTGGAAGCTTTGAACATCCGCAACGTTTTGGGGAGTAGGTCATTCTTTGATCGTACGTACCTTTTCTTCATCTACTTCGATACCGGCTTCTCCGACAATGAAACCCAAAAACATAAGTTTGTGGGTGCACAAAGTGCATTTTTTGAGGTTAACATAAAGTTTGTTTTCTTGGAGTACGGACAAAACTTTGCGGAGATGCGTTAAGTGGTCTTCCTTGTTACGACTGTAGATGAGGATGTCGTCGAAATACACAACGACGAAAGATCCGATGAAGGGTTTGAGGACTTGGTTCATCGTTCTCATGAAGGTGCTTGGAGCGTTGAAGGTGCCGAATGACATGACGAGCCATTCGTATAGACCGAAAGGCGTTTTGAACGCCGTCTTCCATTCATCACCCGGTCAGATACGGATTTGGTGGTAGCCGCTACGGAGATCGATTTTCGAAAACAACTTAGCTTCGGCTAACTCATCAAGCATATCCTCTAGGCGAGGGATCGGGAACCGATACTTGATGGTAATTTTGTTGATGGCGCGGCTATTGATGCACATCCTCCACTAATTGTTCTTCTTTGGTACCAAGAGAACGGGCACGACGCAAGGGCTTAAGCTTTCACAGATGAAACCCTTTCGTAGGAGATCTTCGACTTGCTCCCTTAGGATCTTGTTCTCTTTTGGGCTCATGGGTAGTGAGGGAGGTTCGGTAGGTTGGCACCGGGAATCAAATCAATCTGGTGCTGGATGTCCCTCATGGGAGGTAGCTCAGGTGGTAAGTCATCAACAGTGAGCTCTTTGAAGTCCTTGAGTATCCCGCTCACTTCTTTCGGAATTTCCTCTCCAATCTTTTCGACGTTCCCCAAGCCCTTTACAACGATCAGGCAAAAGACTTGGGTTTCTTTGAACGTTTTTTCAAGAATCTACTCGTTGGAGGTGATGATTAGAAAATTCTCACCTTTCTTTTCCGAGGTGTGGTTGAAGTGAGTAACGGGTGCCATGGCGATCTTGTGTTCACCCCATCGGAAGATCATGAAGTTGTCTCTCCCCCGATACGTGACATCGTTGTCGTATTGCTAGGGTCGACCAAGTAGGATGTGGCAAGCGTCCATCTCGACGACATCACAAGAAATTTCTTTCTTGTAATGTTTACCGATGGAGAGTGGAACCTTACATACCTGGGTGATGCGGACTTGAGGGCCTTTCTTTACCCATCCAAGCGAGTATGGTGAATCATGCGGTTGAGTCGGTATACCGAGATGATCTACTAACTTTTGGGACACCAAGTTTTCACAGCTTTCGTTGTCTACAATCAAGTTGTAGACTTTACGGTTGATGGAGTAGTAGGTACGAAAAAAGATTTTTCCATTGCCCTTCCTCTTTCGGTGATAGCAGGACTCACTAGAGTACAATGCTCACATTTTCCTCGAAATCTTCCTCTGCGAATTTCGCTCCTTTGTATTCGTCCTCATCGTCGTTTTCCCTTTCTTCTACGAGTTCGGCTGTCCTCCGGTTACTGCACTCGTTGGAACGATGGTCGGGTTGTCCACAACGATAGCACTTGAGCCCGGTGGGATTGGCGTAGGGGTTGTTGGGTTTTGGCGTGATCATTTTGTTTTGAGCGGGGATGGCGTTTTTGGGAGGATCGTGAGGGTTAGCCGTTACACTCTTCCCTTTATCAGGGGTGGAACTAGAGGCGTCGAGAAGAATTTGAGTAGAGTACCTTCGGTAGGAGGCAGTTCGGGTAGACTTTTCCATCAGTTCGGCCTTCATCGCCAAACTGGATGCTTCGGTTACGGTACATGCGGTTTGGAGGCAAAAATTTTCTTGTAGGGAACCCTTCAGCCCGTTGATGTAACGAGCGACTCGTTGCCCTTCTGTTTCTCTGATCTCATTCCGGTCTGAGAGACGTATAAATTCCGTGGTGTACTCGGTCACGGATCTGGGTCCTTGTGAACAATCCAGATACATTCGGTAGAGAATCTGCTCGTAATCCTCCGGTAGGAACCGTTCAGTCATCAACTGCTTAATCCTCCTCCACGAGCGTACGAGACCTTTTCGTTGGCGTTGTCGTTGTCGTTGGGTGGTTAGCTTATCCCACCAAACAGCGGCTGTACTTTTCAAGCAAAAATCGACCATCTTGACTTGTTTGTGCTCCGGTATCTCCATGATATCGAAGAACCTGTTGACCTCGATCTGCCAATTAAGGAATTCTTCCACGCCTACATTCTTGTGGAAATAAGGAATGTCGGCTTTCATCCGGTAGTCGGGGTCATTGCGTGGTTGATCGGCTATTTCTTCGGTTCGGACTCTGAAGTGGAACTGGCGGTGGGACGGGGTTGGACACCACGAGGTGGCCGTTAACGATCGATGTGCCTGTCTCTTCTTCGTCGGTCGTCGATTAAGGCGCCGATTTGTTCGGTGAGGGTGGTGGTGAGGGTGCGAGAGCAGTGTTGAAGGTCGTGGTAATACCTTCAAGATCTGCTCGAGTGAGTGGTTGGTTATCTCCCATCGTTAGGTTGAAAAAGAGACAGAGATTTTGTGCTCTGATACCAACTGACACAGTAGGAAACACGGAAAGGTTGACAATTGTCGGAACCCAGAAAATTGATTAAACCTTACAAGCGTAGGGTTTAGGAAAATAACAAGAATTCGTAAGAATTCTAG